TGTTCAGAATGAACCTATATGAATGTCCTATATAAAAGCAAATTTTGACATAATTGTAAACTCTATTACAAAACTAGAGAGTCAAAAATTATCTTTAAATGAAAGTATTTGCATGGTTGATTCTGTCAAAGAAAGAATAGTAAACCTTTCAGGGACAATTGGAAAAAAAAATTAAAGATAAATTTAGTGAAGTTTTAAACCGGAATAAAGGCTTCTCTTTATTGCGATCAATAAATAACATAATCAATGGAAGCTTTAACGAAGGTATTATTAATATGGATCCCTCGCTAGTGTCAAATTTTAGATTTGCGCCAATTACATCCTGTGATGTTGAGAGATCGTTTTCCTCATATAAACACATATTAACTGATAGAAAGCATAACATTAGTCTTGAAAATATTGAACATTTTATGATTATATACTGTAACAGCAAGAACGAGGACATTTTCTTGTGAATTTTCATTTACATTTTTTTATTAAATGTAGTAATAAACACTCTCTAAGTTATACTATAATTTTATTTCTCACCAAATCTCAAGCCCTTAAAAATTAAAAAATATATATTTTTTAAAGTGCATATACAAATGCATATTGCATATAATAAAGGCATACTTGGTTACTTACTATAAGTATAATCCAGTTCCAGTCTCTAATTATAAGTCATTGTCCAATCTGTCTGTACAAAAAAACATGGCGGCTGATGAAAAGTCCTAAGAAATCCAGACTCGAAAAAGTAAGTTAATAAAAAGCCACCAAACTTGGTAGGTATATTAAGGTGGGGTAAAAAATGAAAAAAAGTTAGTACTCTTTTATTAAAATAATAAAATTTATGACACAAAAAAGTTAAAATTTGTTTATAAAAATATTTATAAAAAATTTTCAGTCACAGGACACCAACATATCCATTATCGTACTGTCAACATAGTTCACTCTACATCAAACATAATCCAGGTCAAAAATTTTGTACTATTCATTGTACATTATCACAATTTCTTTGTATTCCGTTTTCTATTTCTAGATCGACCGACGCAAATTTAGAGGTTTCTTGAAGTTCTTGATCGGTAGCTTCGTCTTTTTTTAAATCGGGGTTTAGACTATTCTGAATCCACAGTAACCATATTTGACAAACAATCATCATAACAGTGGTAAATCCGAAAGTCCAAACTGTTCCGTATTCTTCGTAAATGTAAGTTACAAAAATGGGTCCCATCACCCTGGAGAGGCAGCCTGCGCCTACCATGAATCCCATCCAGACGCCCTAAAACAAAAACGGAATAATTTATGATTCATATTTAAAAGAAGACTTTTAACAGATGATACGTTTTTTTATTGACAACAAACTGTTCTAGGACGTTCTGGTCATGCACAGTAAACAAAAGTATATTAAACAAGAAAAATGAAGTTGTATCTACATTAAAACACTGTATTTTTTAATACGGTTTTTTGTAGGAACCGATGACATAACAAATTAACTCCAAAAATACGAAGGGGAAATAAAGGAACACGATGATTACAATAACAAAGCATATGGGTATACCATATACCCCAATACAGTTAGTAGTGGAGTACTTTAATTAAATATTACCATCTATAAAGACATAATACCAAACAATACCTCGAAAATCGTTGACGATATAGCCAACCATATATGCATATCATGGATTGAAGTAATTCAAGCTATGAACTTAATTGTGTTAAATAACGGAAAGCCAATATTTGAAAGAGGATAAAGTCAAATACACATTGTCGTAACTATGGCAATGATCCCGATTAAAAGATAAGTAGAAGAATCGGATAAAGTAGAAGGAGAAAACTTCACATATCATAAATAGATCCTATGCATAAATAAGAGAAAACATAAAAAAATCAAGGGACGGTAGGCGAATCAAAATTCATTGACAAGAAAAAACTAAAATAATGAATTACAGGGAATGAGGTAATACCCAAATAATTTTAAAGCTGAATGATATAATTAGGGAGCTATTTGTTTGAGAAGAGAAATGTTGGGACAGAAGAATGAGCAACCGCCCATACTGTTGGAGAGATAACATAGAAGTTATAAGAAAACATTACAACGACTAGTAGAAGAGGAGACCGAAAGACTAAAAGCCTTAAAGAAAGACCTAAGCCAGGGAAATAAACAGCGAAGAGAGAAGATGCGGGAAAGAACTATGCGACAGACTGGAAGATCTATGAAGGACGCATATAAGATTGAAACAAGAGAACTCAAAGGAATATTTTAAAAACTCAAATTTTAAAATATAGAAAGAAGCACTGTTTCTGCAAACAGTGGAGGAAACCTTCCAAATAATACCTACAGAGGCACCAACAAACGGCTTGGACAAGTTTATGGAAGCAGGAAAGGCACTAAAGACAGGGAAGGCACCCGGACCTGACAGAATTGCGCCGGAAACAATAAAAACCGCTATTGAGGAAAAGGCTGAAGGGATAAAAAACGTAATGAACGATCTTTGTAGAAGACAGAAATCCTCCAAGGAGTTCTCTATTGGAGCTAAACCTAGGAGAGGGAATACAGACAATTGCTTACGCAGATGGCCTGTTCATACTAGTGGAGCACTTCGAGAATGGGCCCATATTAGATAGGACAAATATAGCCCTTATATAATAGCCCTTAAATATAGACAAATATACCAAGCAGGGTTCACAGTAGGAAAATCATGCCTAGATCATACGTACACATTAGAACAACTGATAGAGAAGAAAATGGCAAAAGGTAAGACCGGTCCATCTGGCGTTTGTTAATCTAAAGAAAGCATACGACTCAATACCTAGAGTCAAATTATGGGAAGCAATGAATGATCTCGGAATCCGACAAACATTAATAAAAGCAGTTAAAGCACTCTACAAGAAAACAAAGTAGCTATTAAATGTGGAAATAAAGCCTACAATCCATTTAAGACGACAAAAGCACTTCTACAAGGCTGTGCTACGTCCCCTATTTGTTTAAAATATTCTTGGAAAAGACACTCACACCATGGAGGAGAAAGTGAGAAGGAAGGGGCATACCAGTAAGAGAGGAATACCTATACATCTTAAGTTTTGCCGACGATCAAGTAGTCATTGCACAAGATGAAGAAGATCTCAGCTTTATGCTCAGAAAACTAGAAGAAGAATATAAAAACAACGGAATGGAAATAAACTTAGAGAAAACCGAATACCTAACAACAGAAAACAAGGATATGAGAAACCTAGAGATAGACGAGGGAAGACAAGTAAATGGAACAGATAAATTCAAGTATTTAGGAACCATAATATCGAATCAGGGAACAACAGAAGAAGATATAAACAACAGACTAAGACAAACAAGAAACTGTATAAGACAACTAAATTCAGTGCGGTGGGATAAGAACATTACGTTAAAGACAAAAAAGAGAGTATATAATACCCTGACAAGAAGTATCCTGACATATGGGTCCGAAAACTGGACAATAAACAAGAGAAATAGAGGTAGAATAAGAGCAGTAGAAATGGAGTTCCTGAGGAGAAGCTGTAGACTTACAAAACGAGACAGAATCGAAAACGCAGAGATTAAGCGGAGAATGGGAGTGCAATCAGACATAATCGACTATTATAGAGGAGAAGAGACTAACCTGGTACGGCCACGTCAGAAGAGCGGACAGAGGACGCTGGATAAACAAAATCACAGAATGGAGCCCGATCGGAAAAAGAAAGAGAGGAAGACCCCGAAGGTCATTCAGAGATGAAATCGACGAGGCTATGGAGAAAAGAACCCTGCGAGATGGAGACTGGAATGACAGGGAAAATTGGAGAAAACGGTTGAGTGAAGGAAGACAGTGAAAACTGTGGAAATCCTTAGTAGTAGTAAATATAGCCTTGAACTAGTTAGGATGTGGCTAGAGAAGAGAGAAGTGACGCTAGCCAGACAGAAGACGGAGACCATAATCTTCAAGGGTCCAAGAGCGGGAGAGCATAACTCTTTCACTCTGACAAGAGAAAATATCCTACCTGTAAATAAAATCAAATATCTGGGCATATTGCTGAACACCTAACAGAGCTTGGTTAGCACATAGTATATGATGCGAAAAAAAGCAAATCAAAGAAGAGCGGCGCAAACAAAGACCATGTCAAACATAGGTGGTCCGAGGACAGATAAAAGGAGAATTCTCAAGGAAGTGGTCTACTCCACCATACTATATACAGCACCAGTATGGCAGCAGGTGATGCATAAACATAAATACAGAAAAATTCTGGAGAAAGCTCAGAGGAATGTCCTGCTGAGGGTCGTCTGTACTAATAACGATAGTTGCCTTGCAAGTGATAGCAAGGCTAACATCAATTCACCTACTGAAAGAAAGAACGATCACGTATAGCACGAGTGAAAACGACAAAGCAGACGAGAGAGGGGTGACCAACGCGAAATGACAAGAATAGTGAGAAAATAAAGGACTAAATAGAAAAGAAAACTCGTAAAGGACGTGAGAGACTGAGTATGACACAGTCATAGGGAGACTAACTACTTCACACAGTTCCTTACGGGCTCGGCTCTTTCAGAGCCTTGGGACAAGGTAGTAAAAAGAAGACAACTGCGTTGAATGCGGGGTTAACGAGACAGCAGAACACTTCTGTTCGATCGCAAGAGGTTTACGAATGAGAGGGCGGAGCTATACGAAAGGGCGAGAGAAGTTAGGGAGAATAACATAATGGAAGGCGGGAAGAGGAGAAGATGACTGCAAAGAAATCCTGAAGACATTAACTATAATAACAAAAAGAAAAGAGAACGACAGAGGACAAACGCTAATGGAAAAAACAGAAGATAAGAAGCCTACCATACGTGTTAGGGCGGTCTAAATAAGACTAGCGCGGTGTAGCTGAGTGTGGTTTTAGTTGGTGGGCAGGGCATCATGGACGCACCTGAGAGCACAACTTAGATACAAGAGGGGAAATTCACTCGGGCGTATCCATTTACTCTGAATCTAACACACGACTTCAGAAGATTTTACATCGTCGACAAAAAAAAAGGGCATAATAAAAGAAAACGAATTACCATCATAATTGTCATATTGATACAAATTTCCCATTGTTTCGCAAAATTATTATGAACAGGTATTTTTGAAAATAATAATATTAAAATATACATAATGTATTATTTTATTTTAAATAGCTTGTTTAACGTTTAACTTATACGTAGTAGACCTTAAACACGCAAAAAAAGAAGACTAGATCACCGTGTGACATTGTCACTAACCTCAAAATATCCAAATAACAAATATGACACTTCCTCACGTAATTTAATATATTTTGGACTGTGATTGATAGTTTTATTTGATAAAATATGTGTTTAGAGGACGTTATTTTAGAAATTGAAGGAACTCCTGTTAAATGTAAAAAAGATGTACTTATTTCCAATAGTGATTACTTTAAGGCAATGTTGGAAGGAAATTTTATAGAAAAGGATCAAAAGACTATTTCCATTAAGGTATTATTTTTATTCTTTGTAAAAAGTTTAAACGTTCTATACTATATATTTTTAATACGTGCTTATGAAGTACCCTAGTAACGTATTTAGAACATTTTGGGAATCATTTCTTATTTTCAGTTCACTGTTCATTCAAGATCATTGCAAGTAAGGTTTACATACTACAAAAGAGATAAATGAGTACATAGATTTTCCAAATGTGAATGTAATGTGTGGTGGGTATATTTTCCCATTTTATATGCAATTTTCCTATGCTTTGAATGTTTGTGAAGAATTGTTAGAGTGTACAGAAGTATTGGAATATAAGATTAGGTTATTTGGACCAAAATATGCTTTAAAAACTGCTGCTGTGGAAAAAGATACAGTGTTTTAAAGTTGATTTTTTTACTTTTTGCTAGTATTCACTGTATATTTATGTCATTATCATTCTAGCTTTATAACCCTGCATGGGTCCTAGCCTCTGTCAGAATTTTTCTCCAGTTGTCCCTATCCATCGCCTTCTGCCAAGCGTATCTTCTCATGTCTTCATCAATGTTATCAAGGAACCTTATTCTAGGTCTTCTTTTCTATGCCCTATGGGTATATCAAGCAGCATTTTTCTAGCTGGGTAATTTTGTTCCATCTGCATTACATGCATTATCCACTTCAGATGCCCCATCTTAATAAATTTTACAATATCTAGTTCCTGGTGTATTCTATAAATTTCGAAGTTTTATCATCTGCTTCATATAACTGTATGTTTATGTATGCCTACCATAAAATCATAACTTGGGACAAGGAATGTTATTGTATGTTTGTATGTATTAGTTTATATTTGATTATAGGAAGAACCGCTTGGATGATTGGTGATGATAAAATTCAGTCATTTCATTAAGAAACTTTTCAGGAATTTTTTTACACAATATTGTTACTTTTTTTAGACACTACAATTTTAACCATTTTCCAGAAAAAACTTAACTTTAAATATGCTGCTTAAATATTAAAAAGGAGGATTGCTATGTATTTTGATTCTCAGGTACTTAAGAGAGGGTTTTGGCTCTATAGTTGATTGCTTCAGTTCATATACTATCTCATTTCTGCCTCTCCTACCTGAAAGGATTATAACTTCACCTTTTCAGGTTCCAGCTTCAGGCCATTCTACTTTAGCCAGTGATTTATTTCCACAATGTTTCATTTGCTATAAACATCAAGTAGTGCTATAAACTAATAGTAAGTTAGATACATTTGGCGCAATTCCAGAATACTCCAGTTATCAGAGCTAAAAATGACACTAAATCTCTAAAAATTATATGAACAAACTGAATTTTGCTGATAATATCAATTTTGGAACCCTAAAAGAGATACAAAAAAGTTTAACACTCCTTACCCTGGCTTACCCCTAACACGCCTCCTTGGAGGAAGGGAAAATAGAAAAAATCGATTTATTAATAATCTGTGTGCTGTAGAAATTTGTCCACTATTTGTGTAGAGTAAATTGTTCTCTCAGAAACAACGCTTGAAGAGCAGGCGATTTTGAATGTCAGTTACATGTTCGTATTAAATTTTAAATAGAATTTGTATTATCTTGACAGTGAAAATTCCAATTGTTTTGATCAGAGCGTCATATTAACAAAAATCAAACTGCATTTTAAAGGTGAAGAATGAAGTGTTTATATAATTTTTTTGCATTTTGCCACTGATACAGTCAGTTTCTATAAAGGTATTAAATAAATATTGCGTGATTTTTGTCATTTTGTACTTTATTACTTCCATTAACCTGTAACTATGAAATTTCCATTGTTAGAGCTTAATCTTCCAAACCTATAGCATGAAATTTCCGTTTTGAGATTTATCAACAAATGTGAAGCATTTGAAATATATCTAAAAAACGATAAATTTAAACTTTCGCATTACAAACAATCTAAAATGTTTAAAAATGCTTCTTTTCAATGGCACAAGTACATTTTTCGAAACGATATAACTTCCAGTAGAAATTCCACACAATACTGTCTTCGTGGAAACATTTCCTGTGATCTTTTGTAAGGTAAAAGTTCAAACCTGGCGCTTTTTACATATATTGTACAAGGAAATTTCACACTTCAATTGCGGCAAAATGCAAAAATTGCATTCGAAAGCTGCATTCTTCTTTAAAAGGCATATTGATCAATAGAACATTCTGATCGCTTAACAATCGCTGGTCGCTTCAAGCTTTGTTTCTGAGAGAACTGTTCATTCTATACAGAAAGTGTTAATATTTAAGTATTTCTGTTCAAAATGATCTCAGCTACATTTTTTATTGGCAATATTTAAGAATTTTTTCTTCGGTGTATATATTCTTGGTACATATTCTTGCAAATGGATTTTTTCGGTTTAACGTAGAAGCCGGAAAGGTAGGAGTAGTAAATTTTTTGGAACTTTTTTGGGTCGCAAAATTGACATTCTCAACAAAATTTAGTTTTTTCGTCTCATTTTTAAAGATCAAATATCTGAGGAATGGACTTAAAAAGAATAAAAATGTTAATTTAATGAAATAAAAACAGAACTTTTTAGTACAAACTGGTCTGTTTTAAATTATACAAATATTGACCATTTTATTAAATAGTTTATCAATAAAAGTTTAATTTCAGGATGTTGACCTAAAAGCTGTAAACATTATTCTCACGCTTTTATGGGATCCTACAATTTATATTGAAGATGAAGATGTTCTCATGGTACTACATGCAGCTTGTATGCTACAATTTTGTGAGATTAGAAACATGTGTTTAGATAAACTTATCCAAATTCTATCTGTACAAAATTGTTTGAAAATATGGATAATAACAGAACAGCTAGACATTAGACCATTTTTTTTAAAAGCTAAGCGTCTAGCATTAGCTGAATTTATGGCAATTAAAGAGACTGATAGTATTAATGATTTAAATTTAGAACAACTTATTAGATATGTAGGTAGTGTGCACCTAGTGACTGATAGCGAATTAACAGTGTTTCAAACACTAATGAAATGGTGGTATGATCACAGCAAAGACCATACTTCAGATGACTTTATCAAACTACTTAGTTGCGTCAACTACAAAAAGCTATTACCTGATCTTTTTAAAGAAATATTGACCTATCCAGACATTGCTAATAGTGAAGTTGAAGATATTTTAAAATGTTTGTACAATATTTTAAATAACATTCCAAATAGTTCATGCTCAGAACATTTTTTAGCGGTAGCATCTTTGCTAAGCCAATCAAATGACCGAAAAATTGATAGTGTACCTTGTCTTTTAGTCCTAAATTCATCTAATGACGTTCCAAATAAGAAACGCCTTGTGGAGAACAATGAAACTGTTGTGGGTAAGTATGTTTCAATTATATTTTTTCTGGTTTTCTATCATTTTAATTCTTTCTGCAAATCAGTAGATTGTTAAAAATGACACAGAAAAACCACAAGTAAAGTAAAGTGCAAATGTGTAGTCTTAGCCGCATTTATAGAGAAAAAAGGATGTTCCACAGGGATAACTGTTGTCTACACTGGTACTCAATATGGTATTAGAATATAAGAGATAGTGGCTAAATGACAAAAAAGGGATCAAACACTAGAAACCCACAACTAAAGATGAAAGATGGATCAGTCAGATACAAGTTTGAAAAGCATGCAAGCAACAAAATAATAATGTTAACTTAAAATTGACGAAGGCAAATATATGTGCTGGAGCTATGAGCAAAATTATTAAGGCAAAAGAAATATCCTGTACATGAATAAAACTATTTGAGTTAAAGTGCTGGAAACATTTGTTCCTTCGCAATATTTGGCGCTATGGTAATGGAGAGAGAATGGAAAAGAACTAATGAGGAAGTATACCGATTGTATGACAACCCTTGTATACCAACAGTAGTAAAAAAACATTGCCTAGAATGTAAGTAGGCAAAAATATTGTATGTAGATTACCAAAATGCAAAACAAGAAAGGTAGACAACGAAGGAAGTGGAGGGATGCAATCATAGAGGATATCAAAGAGCTGAGTATGAGAAATTGGAAACAGAAAGTAAGGACAGAAACATATACAAACTATCCATCCAGGAATGGACTAATTTGTGTTTCTAATCGTCCTGATATATATGACCTGCATCACTCTCAAATCCTCCTGCACGTCCTACGGCCATCGCGTCCATAGCCTGGCTGTCTTCCTTGATCTTCCATTCTTTGGTTCACTTCTATCAAGTCTTTAAGTTTAAAATTACTTTGGATTCTTCATGACATACCTTTTTAAACCAATATAGAGCAAATAGTTTTAAGAAACTATTTGCTCAATATTGTCTCCATATTTTGAAATTTGATCTATTTAACAACAATAGGACATTAGGTACATAATGATTTTATTTTAGATCGATATAAACGAAAAATAGTATATAAAAAATTTGTTGCAGATAATAGCAACCTTCACGTCATTTACTACGGTAAGTGAATAGTATTATAGTTTTATAGATTATAATATACATTCAAAATTTTAGACACTAAGTTCTCAGAATTGTGAATGTGTTAAAAGGTGAAGGTCTTTTCAGTTGTTTTAGATATTTTACGATATATTTTAATCATTTTCGTTTTTTGAATATTGTGATCATCTTATTAAATATAAATATATATATATATAATATATATATATATATATATATATATATTACTAGTGTCATTACAAGCTCTCAGTCACTGATCAATAAGTGCACCGATGGCATTGCCCAACTTAGAAGCTCTCCTATTGGTCGATTGACTTAGTGCCTCCATAAGAGCCAGTGTAATTGGCGGTTCAGTCTTACGGGTTTACTACAATCTTGGAGATTGGGCTATGGTTGTTAACCTCGCCTCTGGGGTCAGGTGTTATATAGAAAAATTGGTGTTTTCTTTCAACAATCTGAAGAATCTCCCGAAGGGGTTCTGCAGTCCAATTCGTTCTAGTTCCAAAAGCTACGAAAGTCGCCGAAGTAGGCCGATCACTCCCTGCCGTATCGATATTGAACCGTGGGGACATAACTAACGGAAACCTGATGGCCAAGAAGAAATAGCCACCACCGATGAGTAAGCTGTTGTGTTGTTTGGAAGCATAGATATTTTATCGCGGCCTACAGACGGAGGGGTGGATCGCTCAGAGGTGTGAAAAAATAATATCAAAAGAAACGCAATTAAACGACAGATCGTGCGATCACACGCTACGTGGATTAGCAAACTATGCATATTTCTTAGTAAAATAAAATAAACCAAATGAAATAAATTAAAATGTAATCGAATGGAATCGAATGAAATCGAATTGAATGGAATCGAATCGAATGTAGTCGATTCGAATGGGATTAAATCGAATGGAACGAATAGAATCGAATGTAATCGATTGAACGAATCAATCAATCGAATTGACGCCAATCGAATGGAATGGAATCGAATTGATCCGAATCGAACGGAATCAAATAGAATTGAATATAATTAAATCTAATTGAATTGAATTATTAATATTAAATTTTATTTATATGATAAGAAAGCTATGCTTCCCCTCGGTCACACCCGGAGTATCATATCTCGTTTTTAATATAGGTATAATTTCTACTTTTGTAAGTTTTTAAAATAAATCTCACTAACTTCCACAGAGTCTCCAGAGGAGGAGATGTCATCGCATCTCAGTTCTCATTCAATGAACAATGAGCTATCAAAGTTTAGAAGTCCCTGTAGGCCATGTAAGTTATCCATCAATTCTGACTTCCATCTTGTTGTTATGATAGATGTTTTTAATACTTTTTATGATAACTAATTGAAGTTCTTGAATCTTATTATACAAAAGGCGGATTCCATGTTGTTCATCAGATACCTACATTCACATATTTTCTTCAAATCGATCAGACTTCGAAAATGCTGGTGTATAATCTAACTGTTTTACTAAATCTATAACGGATATTCCAGTTCAAACCCTTATTGTTTATCTGTTGAGCCTTTTCCTAGGATTTATTCGTTCTTGCATAATTTCAGTTGTATGTTTCAGGGTAATAATTAACAAGTTAAAACCGCTATAGTTTTCGGCTGCCTTTTAATACAAATTTTAAATACGTCAATGAAACTGGAAGATTAAGTAAATAGTATTACTGTTAACAATTATTTTTCTTAATATCTTTTAATACATTTATAGAAAGTAAGCGATTAGTCATTTGAATTCCAATGAAAAAAATTTTTTTTTGATCACCAGATCTGCCAAATGATTTCCGTTGTTATTTATGCATTTTGTTAAAGTCGAGTCTGAAAGTTTTCCATAACTCTTTGAATATGAACTGGTATTACTGCAATATAAACTCGAATCCGATGATCCGGTTGTCACAAAATTTGACAATGTGCAAAAAATAAGTATGGAATAGTTGTAAAAGCGAAAGATGCGGAATGGAAATATTTAGAGATTATTAGACGAAAGTAGACACTAAGAAGCAACCGAGCAGGCTTTCGCGCTAAACGCTCCACTGTCAGCAAATTTTTACTCGTAAGAATTATCTTGCACCAAGCTAGCGAATGGCAGAGAAATATAAATACATATAATGTTTAAAGATGGCAGAGCGACTGGAACAGATGAAATTCCAACTGAAATATACAACCTTATAAATGATAGCAATGTTTTAGCGGCTATAACTTCGTTTTTTAATACCATTTATATCAAAGGACAACTACCGAATGGTTGGTCTAATTCACTGTTTATAGCTCTACCTAAGAAGACAACAGCAAAAATCTGTGCTGATTATAGAACCATCAGTTTGTTAAAACACTTATTGAAAATTTTTCTGAAGGTAATATGTGGTCGTATCTACAATAAATGCGAGGAATACCTTGATGACACTCAGTTTGGTTTCCGTAACAGGTTTGGAACGAGAGAGGCACTGTTTGGAATGAACGTACTTGCTCAAAGATGTCGAGATATATCTGTAGACATATACTGTTGTTTTATTGACTTCCAAAAGGCATTTGATCGTGTTAAGCACTCTATATTGATCGAAGCTCTAAAAGACATTGGCTTGGACGGCAGAGATGTTCGAATAATCACAAATTTATATTGCAATCAAACAACATTAGTTTTAGTAGATGGTGTGGAATTACAGGCTCTCAATATTAAAAGAGGAGTACGGTAGGGATACCTCTTGTCACCCTAATTTTCAACGATTACTCGGAAAGAGTTTTCAGAAAAACACTTTCTCTGAAAAACAAGAAGGAATACTTGTGAATAGTGAAGAATCAATAATTTGCGATATGCGGACGATACAGTACTCATAGCTTCTAGTCGAGAAGATCTGCAAACACTACTTGAGAGTGTCATTGCGAGTTGTAGGGAGGCAGGTCTGGATCTGAACATACGGCAAACCAAAATACTCGTAATAAGTAAACAACAGTACAATAATACCAAACTTGAGCAAGTTGATAAAATCGTTTACCTTGGACAGCAATTAAATTGTAACGCAGAAAGTCACAGCGAAATTAGATCTAGGAAAGAGCAGGCTAGAGCTGCTTTTAGAAGGATGTCCAAGGTGTTATGTAACAGAGACCTAAAATTGGCATTGAGGATCCGCCTGCTTCGCTAAATCGATCTAAATCGCCTCGAGGTTTTCGAAATGTGGTGCTATAGAAGAATTTTAAAAGTTTCCTGGGTGGAGAAGATTCGAAACTCCACACAATACTAGAACGTCTCAGCAAGACTACTAAGATCATAAAAAGCGTCAAGCAGAGAAAGCTGTAGTATTTCGGACATGTCATGAGAGGTCCCAAATATAGGTTGCTACAAAATATCATGCAAGGAAAAATAGCAGGCAAACGCAGTCCAGGACGAAGAAGAACCTCATGGTTGAAGAACTTGCGAGATTGGTATGGTGTTGATACAAGCATGCTATTTAGGGTGGCAGTGAATAAAATTAAGATAACTATGATGGTAACCAAGGTTCTGAAAGGACATGGTACATGAATGTTTATTGACTTTAAAAAGGCTTTTGATAGCATAAACAGAGAGTAAAAGTCTCAAACTATATAGACTACCGATAAAATATATTTTAACCTGATCAGATTATTCTTCAAGGGATCCAGAGCCAGACTGGAACATGCGGGAGAAATGGTAGAATATATAAGTATGCAAAGCGAAATTAAACAAGGATGCGTAGTGTCTCCGACACTATTCCTAACCATAACAGATTAGATCATGGAGAAAGTAAACGATAAAACTAAGGACTTGGAGTTCGCTGACGACATGTATCTCCTAACCGAACATAGGGGCCGTATGCAGAAGAAGATCGACAAGTTCGTAAAATACTCCAATGTAATGGGCCTTAAGATAAATATAGAAAAAACGAAACTCTTTTCAAACAACAGCCAAGAAACTAAAATTAAAATAAATGGAAGACAAAAATTAGATATCTTTACATGTCTGGGATCAATCATGGAATCATGGGCGGTAGTAGATCAGATGACGAAACAATGGTAGTAAAGACACAGTATACATATAATTTCTTAAACAAAATCTGGAACACACGCGATATATCAAAATTAACCAAAATCAAAATATTTAACATATGTATTAAGAGTGTATTATTGTATGGCACAGAATCTTGCAGACAGAAAGAAAAATCACCAAAAAATTACAAATCTTTATAAATAAATCGTTGAGAAAATCCTAAAAATATTCTGGCCTGATAAAATAAAAAAACAGAACTATGGAGAACAACAAAACAAGAGAAAATAACAGTCATGATTAAAATAATGAAATGGATTAGACATACACTAAGGAAAATAATACCCAGACAGGCACTCGAATACCAACCAGACAGAAGAAGAAGAAGAGGAAGACCAAATAATAGCTGGAGAAAAACTATAACAAGAGATCATTAAAGAGGTGGCATGAGATAGAAAGAGTTTAAACAGAGAAAGAGAGAGAAACGGAAGAGTTTTAGAAGAAATTTTATAGTTTTTAGAGTTTTTTAAAAAAATATGGACTGATAATTTCTTTTGCCGAAATCGCACACCATACTGTTACTTTCTGAGCATGAAAAGGTATTTAACATAGAACGAGGGTTTTATCCTACAAGGATAAAACCCTTTGAGTATCTCAAATTTTGTAACAAATACGGAAAGGTGAAAATGTGCCTCAACATCATCCACGAATTTTTAACTTGATAGTCATTTTCCTCTAGTTTGACAAACATAACTTTCCACATCTAATTCGTGTTAAAATCACACGGACGAAGAGATTGAACAACTTGATATCGAAAATCTTGAAGGAGAATTCTTCTCAACGATGTGTTACTTATTTGAAAGCGTGGCGAATAGCATATAGACGAATTGTTTTGGCACTACCACCTCTTTTTCTTAGACGTCGATACAGTTTGCTAAAGATTTTTTACCCACTTTTAAATTGCGTTATATGACGGAACTTTCTTCCTCACCACTTCAACTCGCGCTGCAAACCACACCTCAAATTTAATTATCCATTCTTTCGGCATTTTATTTTGTTTAATAATTTTATTAATTAATGCTGTGTATAAACATATTAATATGTATATAGTACTAGTTTCTTCTACCAAAAAATTTTAAGTTCACTTTTACTGCTCTCATCTTCCATATTGCTTATTACACTACACGCAATCACCTGAATTGCTTTTCAGTGTATAGTGACTTCATAAGAATCTGCGAGTGCTTTTGCAACTACGTCTTGAAATTTATCGTGTGTCATTGGATAACTCTTAAACGTAACCACACTTTCTGAGAACTTCTAGTTACAATGTTGAATATATCAGACCTAATCAGTTCAAGGTTTTATCATTTTAGATCGGAAACTTGGTATATTTCGAAGATTCGTAAATGTTTTAAAAAAATTAGTAGGTTTTAGAATAATAGGATATAAGGAATACTTATTTTTATTTGGCGGAGAATATGAGATTGGTAAAGGGGATTGGAATTATAGTTTCTGGGCATACGATTCGATCAAAGAAGTATGGAGAATGAAATCAAGGATGCCTTTCCCTAGAAGACATTTTCAAACATGTATAGTAGGATCTAAGGTGTTTATTTCAGGTTAGTGTCTTAACATGAATGTATGATCCAAAGCTACTATTTTGTTAACATATTTTTTATTTGTAGGAGGTATTGGTCAATTTCGAACAATCCAATCGAACATTTTTTGGTACGACTACAAAAGAGACGAATGGAGCAAACAATACCACTTTCCAGCAACAATATGTGATAGATGGTATAAGTGCTGCAATTATTTAGATAAATTTCTAATCTTTAGTTTAAATCAGAAATGTGCGTATTTTTTCGATGAAAATAGTGGCTGGACGATGTTGCCCTTGGTAATCCCTCCCTTGGTTATCCCTGATGATATAAATTCTAGACTTTTTGCATATAAGAATCGACTGTATTTAAAAGGTATGGCATAATAAAGCAGTTTATAATGTTTTATGACTATAGTTCTAAGCATTTACTGTACAATTAACAAAATTCTGCTAACATGACTTAAAAATTCACAATAAAACAAATATTTTGTTTTATTCGGTCATTCGGAGAAATTAACATTTAACTTTTTATAAACTAGCTGATCCGCCAAACTTCGTACCGCCTTAAAATTAAATAATGCATCAAAGTTCAATAAGCTGTTCTTAAGTCTTAAGGAACAGTCTAACAATAGAATCATGGCTTCACCAAAAATGTTTTTAATTGTCATGAATATCTTTCGTGTTTTGTCAAGTTCTTGTAATGACCTCTTGTGGGCCAATGTATATTCATCCCAAACAAATAAGCATACTGAAATCTTGCCATTGCGCTATTTTTGGCGATGTTGCAATCTGATGTTTCATTAATTTGTATATTTATGGTAATTTCAAGGCAAAATTCTCAATTCCTCTGCATTCCAATAAATTTGCAGATATTCGAGATGAACCAACGTCGGGGCTACTGAGATTAATAATAAAATTAGTAATGTTGGGGATGTTCTGTCCATCCCCAGTATCAAAGAAGTAAATTCTACCAGATAACATGTTCACAGCTTTTATCAAAGTGTCGTACGCAAACCTTTGTTGTTGATTCAATTGTAGAACATTTTTATGAACTATTTCGACAAATTCTTCAGTGTTGAACCGTTGTTCTCTTTGTAAATTTGTAAATTGTCTTCTTCTTCAAGTGCCATCTCCGCGGCGGAGGTCGGCAATCATCATAGCTATTCGGACTCTTGAGACGACTGCTCTGAAAAGTTCATTTGATGTACATCCGTACACTCTCTCAGGTTGCGCAGCCATGACATTCTACGCCTCCCTATGCTTCTCTTTTCTTGGATCTTTCCCTGCATAATCAGTTGGAGCAAGGTGTATTTCTCTCCACGTATAATATGTTTGAGATATTCTAATTTTCTTGTTTTAATGGTATTTAAAATTTCCATTTCTTTATTCATCCTTCTCAGAACCTCTTTGTTTAAATCCCTGATACTTAGCACTCTTCTCATTTTGTTGAAATTTGCTCTAGCCTTTCCTATTCTGATTTTGATTTCTGAATGTAATCATCTGTGGAGTTAATCTTTGTTCCCAGATATGCATATTTGTCCACTTGTTCGACGTTGGTTCCGTTTATTAAAAGATTCTCGTTATTTCTTTAAGTTTTCGATATTCTTATAAATTTCGTCTTCTTGACATTCATTGTTAGACCATACTCTTTTCCATACTCTGCTATTCTGGTCACCAGTCTCTGAAGATCTTCAATATTTTAGGCTAAGATCACAGTGTCGTCCGCATATCTAATGTTGTTAATGGGAACTCCATTTACCTTTATTCTTGCTGTTTCACCCTCAAGGGCGTTTTTCAGGACCTCTTCGGAGCAGACATTAAAAAGAATTTACTACAATACGCATTCCTGTCCCCACTCCACATCTAATTTCAATTTCTTCTGACAGCTGTTCGTTAAAATGTAATTTTGTAAATTGTACTCTTTCATAGAGTCATAATTTTATTCGATTGTAGTTTATTTTAATTTAATTTTTTTTTATTGTATTCTATCCTATTTTACTTTATTTTATATTATTTTAACTTTATTTTCTTCTATTTTATTATTCTATTTTATATTTTATACTAATTTTATTTTATTATAATTTGTTTTATTTTAGTTTTATTTTATTCTATTTTATTTTATTTTATTTTAATCAACAGGTTCTGATTTATCGCTGAACTTAAAATCTACCATCGACAACCTAATATGTTGTCATTCTTCCTTTAAGAAAAGGTAACATTTCAACGTTGTCTTTGGTGATTGTTCAGCTTCGTGAATTTATAAAGTCGTTGTCCATTTACCATTTACGTCTGACGTCTATTTTCTTTCTTCACGTAATTTGACATGCTACGTCAAAATAAGGGATCTTTAAATAAATGTTCTCTGGTCTGTATTTAATTTAAATGCAGGTGTAAAAAAAATTAATTATGCTTTTATTAAAGGATGGCATAAAATACGTCTTCAATAACTTCCTATTTATTTTGTTAATCATAGCTTTCTTTGTTAGTCATAGTATGTGGCGTCATCTATTAGTCATATTGCGATTTAAAATGACAGAAAAACTGTTTAAAGGTCTTTCCGTATATATTTTTTAAAAAGTATATCACAAAAACCTCCTGATAATAACAAACAACAAAAACAGAATTATCTAGTTTGGTGCAGTGGTTCTGAATTGATGCCCGTACAAACATTGTGGCGATTCATTTTTATTAATATAGATATATACCTATGTTTGAAGGCATCATTTATTAATGGACATTTGTGTTTGTAAAATGAAAATTAGTCTGTCCAGTTAAACTTCCCTTTAAGTTAATTTTTATATTACCCTCAGTACGGTAGAACCTAACTTCTTGGCCTCCTCTCTTTCCATCCAAGTTTAATGTTCCTTATATCATTTTTGTATAATATTTATATGTGTGGCTTAACCAACAAAACAATTTCTCCAGCTAATGGCTAGAGAGCTTAAATATTTTGTAGCGTAAAAACTGTTCTACTACCTACAAACTGACAGGTACGTAAGTCGTCTACATAATATAATTCCCAAATTGAAAAGATTATAATGACTATGTTCGTTGGTTTAAAGATCTGGTTTACTGGCAAGCATTGATCTTATCGTAAACCAATAATCTTCGCTCGAGTAAGTACGCCAACCCCTTATAATCAAAGACTACTGTAGCATTGACCAGTTGTCAGCAGAATAACACTTCTGTCTCATGGCGGTCTAAACCTAGCATAAATTCCCTCTATTTGCTTTCGCCATAGGTAGGTACCCCAAATCGGAAACTTTTCTTTGTACAATCAGGCTAGTATCGAAGGCTCTCCACATATATTTTGCAAACTTTATGAGGAGCTGACACTTTGTCTTAGTCACCAAGTTTTAGTCCAAAGTATGCATTATTTTGTAAATAACATTATAATAATACCAAATTCCATACTGTACAAATACGATATTCTATTTCAAAATGGAATTCAGAATTTCCCTTGTTTGAGGCTGGAAACTTATTAGTGAAGCCTATTATTTTTGTTTTAGGTCAAAAATTATTAGAAATGAGGTCGATCCGAGAGGGATTAAAAGTTATTTCAATACAAAGCATTTCCACTGTTGAGTACGACGAATTAGAAATGACTATCTGTGATAATATAGTATATACGTTATACAAAGAACATACGGTAAACGGCCTTATGTACTCGTTTGAAAAATTCAACTTAGATACTAACGAAATGGAAATTATTTTCGACAGACTGAAGGAAGAGGATACGCTGAAAGCAGATGAGGAAATTTTCGACTTGGATCAGTCGTTAAACATATTCTCATTTACTCACCATAATTTATTTGACGAAAACGTATTGGTTAATAAAAATTTCTGATTTTGTAATAAAAATTATTTAAGAGTCATGTCGTTTTTTATTATACAATCCCTATTTCTTTAAAACTAATATTTGAAAAAGATACGACACTCTAATGTGGGAAGTAATAGTTTAAAACCAACATAACTTTCAAGAAGCCTACCTTTGAACTTCATTCAAAGATATCAGATGTAAATGCGAAACCTTGCGCAATTTTCTAGTATACCTTGTCCAGCAGATATACGGTCACATTGGAGGACCTCTCACTTTTACGTCACAAGCCACGTCCCCGCCTGTCCCTTGTCAATTCTTTATCTGTCAAATGTCTGCCACGTGTCAAATATTCTTATGTCTGATGTCAATTATTTTTCCTTTCATCTGACGCCCTAGACCACTCTACTGACGGCAGTGTATGATTTTTCTTTCATCGCATTCTATTTGTTAAATCCTATCATGCGATACATCGCATGTCTTTATACGTTAAGCTGTTTATGTGCTATAAACTTAAATCTTTATTGTTCGTATACGCCAGTTAATCATACTTCATGTGTGATTTTTCTTACAGGTGCGATAAAGCGTAAAATAGGCCAGAAAGGCAGTATGTCGGACCCGATCTTAGTAAACGACATATCAAGTGGTTGGAAATGACCAAATAACCTTTAATATTTCGAGAAAAGGCAGCTTCATTCTTTAATTATGCCCAAGCCATCCAAAACAGATCTTTCAACGCTTTAGATGTGGTAAACAGATTTTTCACCCAAGCCATCCAAAACAGATTTTTCAATACATTTATAAAATTCGCTATTAGGTTATTAAATTAGTTCACATAGCGAAGAAAATCTTGAATTCATTTTTTATAAGACCAGTTGACAAATCTGAACTGATCCAAACAATCAGTAGTATCAAAAGCAAATCTTGCTGAAATACTGGCCCAACTCTGACTTACTCTCTTTTAACGTGATAAGACAGTAGCATTATCCTATAAAGGAACTCTTCAACATTTGCTTCTTAATAACAGCCAAATCAGTCTGTAAAATTCTTGGTATTTTCATAGACAGCAAGCTTAAATGGTTGCTGTTGGTAAAACCTTATATGGTCCCTTCATATCGATTTGTTAAAGTAAGAAACTAGCCTCAGTCTGCTATGCAATAAGATCTGCTTCGAAGGAAATCAATTTAGTATCTTCCAAAATAACATATTTTTTTTTGTTTGAGTCTCATTTTCGATATAGTCTTCTTTTTGGGGTTCCAGTACCAATCTGATGTTATTTTTAAATTACAAAAAAGAGTAATACGGTATCTTTTTGACCTCGCTAGAATAACTCATTGCAGAAGCTACTTAAACAATCAAGGGATTTTTTAACTCTTCCCACTTTATATACCTATTTTAGAAACTGTTTCCTTAATTCGTAAACACATGTTTTTCCAGTAAGACCTAATTGTAACTACTCTACCAGAAATTCAACCTTTGATGTGTAATTACCGATCCTGTCCACTGAGTTAGTAAAGGAATCTATATTACATTCGGCAAAAAAAATTATACAACCAATTTAAATCTGCAACTTCTTTCCTTAAGTTCTGCAAAATGACGAAAGCCTATCTATCTGAAAGACCATATTATTCAGTGGAATAGTTTTTTAACGAATAATTAAGGAATTACAGTACGTTTATGTAAAAGTAACTAACGTATTTTTATATACCTGTATATCACATGCAGCAATTTAAACTTTTGCAATGAATTGTGTATTTATGTAATTTCAGTAAATTGATATTTTTATGACTTTTAGCTTTGTCCATAAAATTGTACAATTTTCAGTGACGATAATTCATATTTCTATAAATTAATGCAATTAAATCATGAATTAAACAAAATAAACAGTAAATAATTAAAGCAGAACAGTCCAGTCTTTATATGTGTAAGTATGTCGTAGTTGATCGCTCAAAATGTAGTATGTTAAAAAGGAGGGAACTATTTGAAAACCAGCGAAATGATAGTGTTTTAATACTTTCCATTGGACAAATAAGAAAGACGAATTGTCACGTGGGTATGGCATGGCTTGTGATTATGAGAGACAGGGGGGTCCTACAAAGTCACCTTATACCTACGCAATTTACAAGATAAAAATGTGGAATACTACTTGGTCAAAGTCAAAAAAGAAAAAAATTTAAATATTTCAGCAAAAGAACTCTTAAATACTATATTTGAGCACGGTTTTGCTGTACAAACGTGAGATTTGGAATTGTAAAAATAAGTTAATACGTTTGTAAGCATTTCAGCTGTGGTGCTATTCTCGCATTCTGAAGGCATTGTGGACGACACATTACAAAGAGAGGAAACTGCTTAACAAAATTAAATATGAAAAATAAAAAACTTTAATCATATGGTCGGATCACCTAAGTATAAACTATCTTAGAGAAAAGTCGAAGAAGAAACACAATAGACAATAGTTTTTAGTTGACATTACGACATATTGATCAGACTAGCACATTAAAGGAACAGTAGCAGATTTGCTTCTTTTTAATAATGAATTGTCTTTCGAGATGCTACAAATTGTCTACAAAATACGAATTATTTTACCTTACCTGTGGTTTAGATCCTAATAATTTAGAAAATATTGTCTGTAGCAACGTAACAGCAATAGGATAACCGAAAGACGTGAACAGGTACCCTAAAATGAATTGGGCCAAACCCAGCGCCGGCGTATAACTACACCATTTTTGATTGCTGGGACATCCTACCACGTCTTCTCCACAATTAAACGTCATATTCCTTACTGAGCTTTCGTTTTTCGCGTTAATCTCTAAGTACACTCCGAATGAACTTAACGTTTCTTGCATTCTGGTGACGTTAAGTTCTGATGATTTATTTTTAAAGATTGTATCACAGTAGCTACTCAATTCCAATTTGAAGTTAGAATCGTACATTTTGGGGGTATCCCCCGAGAACGGGATCATGCTAAAGCGACCTAGCACCATCAAGAAGAAGCCGAACCATATCATTATTTTGGTTTCAGAAAATCTACGAGACAATGGAGCGATGGAGGCAAACGTCATGATTGCTACCACTGCACCCACTGACATTAAAATCCCCATGTACCTAGAAACAATAACGACATTAGAGATTTAAGATAATCCAAATAGTTATACTCACCATAAACTTTCACTCTTAGACCAAGCAAACTGGTCCATGGTAAGTGGAGTACCCAACGTTTCCAGCAACATAAAATTAAAAACTAGCACAAAAAATGCAACGATGGTAGACCAAGCCGATACGTAACTGATATTCTCTTCTTTCCACATTTCTTTCACATTGTCTTTTCCTGTCTGCAACATTGCTTCTTTGACAGCGATTTTGTGCTCTTTGAACATCGATGGAAAGAAACAGTACATGTTGAATAACGTTAGGAAGACGTTGAGCCAACCAGAAGCCGTGTACATGTTTAGTTTTAGCTTGCCTTGGATCAGCCAAACTCCTTCGCCACCAAGCGGTACCAGAGCGGCTTGCACTGCGGGTCCCACTATGAAACCTATAATTTGAGCTAGCGAAATCATAGAGACTGCCTTTGTTCGTTCTGAATAACGAGTTGCTGCCGAAAGGTAGGATCTACATGCTGCCACACTTGCTACAAAAAAGAGTTTATTATAACAATATAATTGAAATAGCTATACTTTCTTCTGTATTATGAATGTTAGTTATAAAAATCCATCTACAACGTATATCCAGCGTGCAAGAATCTCAATATGAAAATATCAATAAAAAAGTAAAGTTATGGCGTTTCAATACAGGAAACGATACAATGAGAGAACGAGATTTCTTAACTCAGAGAAGGGCGTTACAATACTAAGTGGACAGAGAAATTGAGACGTCAGAAAAAAATTGAATATCTTTTCGATCAATTATAAACTGAAAGATTACAGAACATGGACAAAAATGGAAAGATAATGGGCATAACTCGATTAACCATAGTATAGTTTCGAAATTGTAGACACCAAATTACAAGAAATGGTGATGACCATTCTGAGGTATTTTTGGTCTTCCAGTGGAGTACAATTTTTTTAAATTTTATGTTTAAAGGTTTTTTATGTAGGTAGCGCTACCTGCATTGAAGAATTTTTACAAATTTGATGTACTACTATTCTCTCCCTAGCGCTAAGAAATTTTTAAACAAATATGTGGTATCTTCCATAATGCAACTGAATATTTTGGACATCGGAATATAGGGACTAACAAAAAGGCAAAATATGCATACAGTATGCTCAAATTAAATGAAGTATTTATCTTTTTTAATTAATCGAATTGAAGTAAGTAAACTAATAATGTACGTGAAGAAGTGTAAGAGGTGAAATTATTGTATCAATTACAAATTTTGTGATAAATCCTTAAATGTCGATATACCAGATGCACAAGATCTGATATTTTTCAGTTTTTAAAGTGAATATTTCTTATCGCTTGGTATGATGTTTGTGCAGAAGCCCAACATTTTTGTTGTGATATCTTCAAATTTTTGTTTTTGATCTTACCCAGTCGTTCTTCTTTTTATCTGACAGTCGTATACCTAACATTGCTCTTTTCATTGACCTTTCTGTTGTGGCTAGTTTATTCATAGTTACCTTGGTTAGGGTCCAGATTTGACATCCATATGCTATGATAGGAAGGATGCGTTGGTTGTACACTTGGTTCCTTAAGTATTGAGGTATTTTGTGGTTCTTCAGTATCCAACAGAGTTTTCCAAATTCTGCCCATGCCAGTCTTGCTCTTCTAGTGATTTCCGCAGTTTGGCGATCTTTGTTAAGTTTCAGAATTTGGCCTAGGTAAATATATTTCTGGACTTATTCTATCTCACTGCCATTTATAGTTATTAGTCTGGGATCGTTTGTGTTGGTCTTTGTTTTTCTCATATTCATTTGAAGGCCGATGTATTGGGAGCTATTTGCGAGTTCCTTCATCATAATTTGTAATTCCTCGAATGTGCTCGCTATCATCATGATGTCGTCAGCAAATCTGAGGTGGTTTAACTTGTTAGCCATTAACGTTGATGTCATATGTTG